GTTATGCATCAATAGCAGCAACAGCTTTTGCAGGTTCTGCAGTCATTTGGGGTACAGGATTTCTGTTTGAGAAATTTCGTAAATTAAACAATATGTACAAAACCCTTTACATAATCATTTGTCTTTGAAAAGCAGCTGATAGGATAGCTACTAAACTGAAGGATATTAGATGAGCAGACGTAGGAGAAAATAGCTTACCTGTTTTTTCCTCCCCGCACTTTAGTGTTTGGAATGGTGACATGGACTTGTTTGTTTGGTGTTTTGTTTTTTGTCAAATTCAGACAAGACAGAAATGAAAAATGTTGATTAGAAACAAAGAACCAAGGTAGTTCAGCACTACCCTGAGAAGGCTAGATAGAAATGAATCCCACTGGACAAGTGCCCCAGGATGAATGGCAGCCAGTCGACCTGTTTCCTGCTCTGGTGAAGTTAAGCTCTTTGGAATTAATGCACTTATCTTATATTCATGTCATGGATAGTTACCCATTTCACTTTAGTAGTGATAGTTGCTTGGTTAAAGGTTAGCAACCTACACGTTATTCTTACATTTTCTGCAGAAAATCCAGCCTCAGCTCCCTGATGACGATGGTGATCACAGTGACAAAGAAGATGAGCAGCCTCAAGTAGTGGTTTTAAAACAGGGAGACCTAACAGCTGAAGAAGTCATGAAAATCAAAGCAGAAATAAAGGCTGCCAAAGCAGGTATGTCTACAAATTATCTGATTTTTTAAAAAAACACTTTAAGCAGCATAAAGTGGGTTTTTGGGGTTTGTTTGTTTTAAGTGAGTAGAATGATTTGTTTGAAAAATGTGGTCTTTGGTTCAAGCATTGGCTGTGGTCCCAGATGTGTAACCTTGAGCAAGTGATCACCTCTGTGCCTCAAGTGCCCCGTCAGTGAAATATAGACAACAAATGGACCTTCCTTAGGGCACTATTTAAAGTATCCTATTAACAAAATAGGTCAGCTAGTCAAAAAAGATCTATGTGATTAGTACCTGAAGTGTAGTGTCATATAATGCACTAGTATTATTCAAACATTGTTTTGGGGAGAAATATTGTGGTTCCAAACACATTTCAAAATACAACCTGGTGAACTGGAGATACAGCATGGTGGTAGAGAAAGTTCTTAGCAGACAAGGCCCCACATTCAGGCCATCACCTTCTTCATCTTTACTGTCATCAGCTGGGGACTAATATTAGGAGACACTTTAGTGAATTTTTATTGAGTGTGTGTTGGGTAGGGTATAACTAGCAACAGAGCAGACTGAATTTATTCATGGACATCCTCAAGTATGGTGTATGATTTTTGTGTCAATTGACTCTTTGTTGCCATCAAAATAATGAAAAGAAACTTTTTCAGCTTTTTTTTTTTTCTTTTTGGTCACAGATGAAGAACCGCCTCCAGCTGATGGGAGAATCATGTATAGAAAGCCAGTTAAGCGTCCCTCAGATGAAAAGTGTTTAGGTTTAACAGCAAGCTCCAAAAAAAAGAAAACAAATGAAGATGATGAAAATAAGCAGAATTCAGTTAGAAAGAACTCACAAAAACAAATAAGAAATAGTAGTCTCCTGTCTTTTGACAATGAAGATGAGAATGAGTAAGTATAAATATTATGGGCTTGGCTTCCTTTGATAGCAATGAGGTATTTTTAAACATTAATTCTCCTATACCCTGAAGTGACATTTCCCCTTAGTGCTATAGGTTCCTTACAGAAAGCTTCAAAAATACAGGAAACAAGTTCATGGAATAAAACCCATCCAATAATGCCCCTTTGACCAGAAATCCTCAACATTCACTCCTGTTAACATCGTATTACCTCCACCTGTGGGTCTGTACATATGTAAATTATGTTTCTAAACAAAACTGGGAGTGTTGTCTATGTTCCGTCCTGCTTCTTTCTTAGAATTACATTGTTAGAATTTTCTGAAGTTGCATATTTCAAAAATATAACATTAATAGCTCACAGAGAATTATTATAAGTAGATCTGTCTTAGTCACTGTTCCATTGATGTAAAAAGACATGGAGACCAAGGCAACTCTTATAAAAGAAAGCATTTAATTGGGGGCTTGCTTTTGCTCGAAATTTCAGCTTAGTCCATTGTCATCATGGCAGGAAGCATGGTGGCAAGACCAGCACGGTTCTGGGAAAGTACCTCAGAACTACATCCTGGTCCGTAAGCAGGGGGTGAGGCAACACAACATGACATTGAAACAGACTGGACCTGGCATGGGCTTTTTGTTGTTTTTAGAAACAGTTTCTGCTAGGTGGTGGTGGTACATGCTATGAATCGCAGCTCCAAAGCTACATGGAGAAACCCTGCCTCAAAAAAAAAAGATAAATATATAAACCTTTAAAAATTAGAAACAGGGTTTCTCTGAGTAGCTTTGGCTTTCTTGGAACTCACTTTGTAGACCAGGCTGGCCTCAAACTCGAGATCCACCTGCCTCCCAAGCACTGGGATTAAAGGTGTGCACCACCACCGCCGCCACCACCACCTGCTGGCATGGATTTTTGAAACCTCAAAAGCTAACCCGTCAGAGACACACTTCCTCCAATAAAGCCATATCTCCCAATACAGTTCTACTTCCTCATGACCAAGCACTCAAATATATGAGCATTTCTTTTTAATTGATTTTTATTGTTGAGGTTTCACTTAAAACCTTGAGCATCTTGGGCTAACAGCCAAAGTGAAGTTGATTTCTAAGTTACTGTTTGATTGCATTCTATTTATCTAGCTGGTTCTTCAGTACAAAGCAGGACCGGTGCTCATATAGGGAACACACTGGCTGAAGCCTTTTGCCTGTCTCCTGTTTAGCAAGTGTTAGTTCGAGCCTTTTTAAAATCTTCCTCATTAGTTAAACCCTACTTTGGATGAAAGCATGACTATCTGCCTAGTTAAAAATACTTTCCCAGCAGGGCATAGGTGGCACACACCTTTAATCCCAGCACTCGGGAGGCAGAGGCAGGTGGATCTCTTTGAGTTCGAGGCCAGCCTGGTCTCCAGAGCGAGTGCCAGGATAGGTTCCAAAGCTACACAGAGAAACCCTGTCTGTGGGGGGGTGGGCGGGGGAGATTGAGAGATGGGAAAGCTTATGAAATGTTCACAGCTGAGTTGGTGAATGCTGTCAGGATGTCAGGTGATTACTTAACTAGCTGTTGCTTCACTCAGAATACTAGACAGACATAAAGTTCAAAGATCCAGAATTCAGCCAGGACAACTTGCTTATTGCTCCATTAATTCAATGGTTTTAAAAAAGGAGTACTGGGGAGAAAAAAAAAAATCTTTCCCCATATGCTTATCAGGACCCATTCCTATAAAAACCACACTCTGTTCCCACTCCACCCACAATGCATGATTCATGTGACCTCAGAAACTTTGCAGGATTGGGACCAGTGAGTACATGCACAGGAAAAAGAAGCTGCATTCCATTTCAAGAAACATGACGGCTCAGGGTACAGTTAAAGTCTTTGGCTTTTAGATGTTTTTTTATTCTCTTTAAATTAGCCTCTGAAATGCTTGTGTTTACCTTCCATTACAGAAAATAACTTTAAAGTGTATAGACTTTGTTTTAACAATGGAAGAATAAAGCAGAACAGAGGTGCCTACTATCGGGAGCAGTAGGTTATGACCAACATCAAGGAAACACCCTGTTGCTACTCAACAAGATGGGTTCTGTGGTGTCGCATGAGGTGTGAGTTAGAAATGAACGCTGCACCACACTTTGCGCATTCATAGGGCTTCTCCCCTGTGTGAGTTCGCTGGTGGACAGTGAGGCTCGAGCGCTGTCTGAAGGCCTTACCACATTGGTTACAGGTATAAGGTTTTTCCCCATTATGGATTCTTTGATGAATGAGTAGGTATGAGCTACAAGTGAAGGCCTTCCCACACTCACTACATACATAAGGAAGGTCCCCACTGTGAATCCTCTGGTGGACAATAAGGCAGGAGAGCTGACTGAAGGCTTTTCCACACTCACTGCAGTCATAAGGCTTCTCTGCAGTGTGAATTCTCTGATGCACAATGAGGTGAGAAAAACAACTAAAGGCTTTCCCACAATCTTTACACTCGTATGGCTTCTCACCAGTATGGCTTCGCTGGTGTACAATGAGATTTGCACTCTGGGTAAAGGCTTTGCCACAGTCGTTACAGGCGAAAGGCTTCTCCCCAGTGTGGATCCTCTGGTGGACAATGAGGTTGGAGCTTCTAGTGAAGGCTTTCCCACACTCGCTGCATTCATAGCATTTCTCAGTTATATGGACTTTCTGGTGCCGAGCAAGTTGCGAACTGTAACTGAAGGCTTTCTCACATTCACCACACTTAAAGGTTTTTTCTAAGGAGTGGATTTTTTGATGTACAGTCAGATTTGAACTCTGAGTGAAAGCCTTCCCACATTTTGCACAAACATAGGGTTTCTGTCCAGTGTGGATCCTCTGATGCACAACAAGGTTTGCACTCTGAATGAAGGCTTTCCCACACTCATGACACTCAAAGGGTTTCTCCCCGGTGTGGATTCGCTGATGTACAACAAGGTTTGCACTCTGACTAAAGCCTTTCCCACACTCACTACACGTAAAAGGCTTTTCCCCAGGTTGTATTTTCTGATTTTTAGCTGGCCCAGAACTAAGGCTGTATTTCTTCTTAGACTTCTCAGACTTCAGGTCTTCGTCTTCTCTGAAGCTTTCTTTCACTGTCACTTTTCTGGTATCTCTTTTTTCCCGCTTTATTTTCTGCCTTTTTAATACATTTCCCTTTTCACAAGATTCTCCTAGCTCAGGTCCTTGAAGGTCACCTTTTTGGATTCTTCCTAAAATCAGGAGAGGCTCTTCTGCTTCATCATGTATCTCTGTCTTAGGATCCAGTAGTTGTAGGTTCTTGGTGTCAGTATCTGTACCAAGACACAGAAAATAAAAATATGAGTTTCCTCAAGCCTAGGAAAGGAACAGGCTCATCAAGGTCAGAGTAAATGGCATCACCTTTCCAAACTGTCCTTGTCAAAGGGTCACCACACGCCCTGTAGAGTCTCTGGCTGTGTCTGTGCCCTGCCACACACTTGCCCTCAGCAGAGTCTATTATCTTCCAGTATGAGTATCACTATAAAGTTATGTGCTGAATGGCTGGCCCCTATCTCGTGGTGCTTTGGGGAGTTATGGAAACTTGAGGCCCTGGTCCCTGGTCATCATGAAGTAGACAATCTCCTACATAATCCTGCTATCATGTTCTACACACTCTGAACTGAAACCTCTGTTATTGTAAGCTAAAAGAAACTTTCCCTCCTTATATCTGTCAGCAACAACAGCCACTTGGCCCAGAGTGACAGGCCTAAACTCTAGACAATACTCGTGGTAACCTGAAGATAAGACTCACAACTGTGACCAGTTATGAAGGGTACCAGATCTGCTTCAACTTTTTTCATCTTTTTTTTTCCCTTGAGCTGCTAGTGTGGATTAGCACAGAACTGACCAGTTAACTATGGAAAATCCCTATGGCTTTTTGTGTGAGAGAGAATATTAGATAGCAAAGCAAGGATAAAATATGGGCATGATGACATATGCTTCTAATCCCAGCACTTGGATAGCAGAGGAAGGAAAATGGATGTGTGAGTTTGAGGCCAGCCTGGTACAGTTGGGGTTAAACAGAGAGACTGTTTAACTTAAAAAACAACCCACCAAGGCTGGAGAGATGGCTCAGCAGTTAAGAAAAGTATTCTTCCAAAAAACTTGGAATGCCAAGCAAACATTCTATCACCAAACTACATCCAGAAACCCACTAAGTCTTTATATCAAAATCTATCTTTCTTCCTTTTATTCTTTCCCCCCCTTGGTATTGGTATAGAGGACTGAATGAAAGTAATCACATTTGTTAAATCTGCACTCTGCATTTTGAACTATAAACCTATCCATTTGACTTCTGTCAAAAGAGGTTTGGCATCTGTATGATGGCCTAGCTGGTCACACAAGTCCTTGCTACCCAAGCCTGGTACCCATGTGGAAGAGGAAGGGCAGAAGTGACTTCACAAAATTGTGCTCTACCCTCTGTGTGCACACTGTAGCACACGCACACATCATATACACACAGTGCATAAATAAAATTTAACCTGAGAAAGATCTCCAGTGGGTGTGACGGTGTACAGCCGTGATCCCAACATCTGGAGGTAGAGACCTGAAGTTCCTCAGTGCAAGGCCAGTCTGGACTACATGAGACACTGGCTCAAAAGTCCAAAAACAAAACACCTTATACCATCAGGAAAAAAAAAGAAAGAAATCTATTTATTGGTCTTTTAAGCTGGTTTTTGTACTCTTGAGATATGAAACATATAATCCTATCCGATTCCCCCCCCCAGACATTTCTGACCCCTCAAAACACATTCCTGACCCTCATTTACAGGTTACTGCTGCACAAGCAGGATTCTGTCACAGCCTATCAAGACTGATTTCATGCCCCAAGTGTAGTGGGGCACACCTTTTAATCCCAGCAGTTGGAAGGCAGAAGCAGGCGGATCTGTGAGTTCAAGGCCAGCCTGGTCTACATAATGAGTTATGGGACAGCCAGTGCTATGTAGAGAGACCCTGTCTCAAAACAAAACAAACAATAAATTATTTGAGGATAACATCTTACTGTTTTCAGTCTTTGATGTCTCTAACAATCAAGCAAAGCTAAACACTTTAATCTGCTTCTTGAGTTTTTTTTTTTTAATTTTTATTTCTGTACATTTGAATTACGTCCCCACCCCTTTAAAGACATTTCTGTTTGTGTGTACGTGCACACACACCACAGTGTGCATGTGGAGGTCAGAGGGCAACTTGGTTCCCCCTTCTACCATGTGACTGATCCCTTGGGAGTGAACTCGGTCAACAAGCTTGACCACAACTGCCTTTACCACTAAACCATCTGATAGCCCCGAATTAACTTTTTACATCTTTAAATCACTTCATCCTAATGATCTGCTGTAACTCTTTACACACAGAGATATTCTTTGTTTTGAGACAGGATCTTTCTATGTAGCCCTGGCTGGTTTGGACCAGCTATGTAGACCAGACTGGCCTCAAAGAGAGATCCAAATGCCTCTGCCTCCAGGGTGCTGAGATTAAAGGCCATGATACCAAGATTAAAGGTATCTTTTAAGAATTTTAAAGCTACATTTATTGGGGGATGGAGGTAGCATGCCAAGGTGCACATGTGGCGGTCAGAGGCCAATTTTGGGGGATAAAAATAGTGATTTTCTAGGCTGGAGAAATGGCTCAGAGGTTAAGAGCTCCGGCTGCTCTTCCAGAGGTCCTGAGTTCGGTTCCCAGCAACCACATGGTGGCTCACAACCATCCATAATGAGATCTGGTGCCCTCTACTGGTGTGCATATATACATGGAAGCAGACTGTTGTATACACAATAAATAAATAAAATCTTAAAAAAAAAATAGTGCTTTTCTTTCCCATTATGTGAGTCTCAGGGATGAAACTTAGATCATCGGCCATCTTAACTGTTGAGCTGTATCACTAGCCCTAAAGATACTTATGATGATGTACTTCTTTTTATTTTATGTGCATTGGTGTTTTGCCTGCATGTTTATCTGTGTAAATTTCTGACCTACTGAAACTGGACTTACAGACAGTTGTGAGCTGCCACATGGGTGCTGGGAATTGAACCCAGGTCTTCTGGAAGAGCAGCCAGTGTTATCAACTTCTGAACTGTCTCTCCAGCCCAGGGTATTTTCTTTTAAGTCTTTAAAAGACAGACACTTAAGAATGAGGATATAAGTCAATTGGTAAACTGCTTGCCTAGCACGCATGAAGCCTTGGGTTTAATCCCCAGCACACATATAGCAGGCATGGTGGGACATGCTTGTAATCCTAGCACTTGGGAGATGAAAGCGGATGATTAGAAACTAAAATTCAAGGTCAACATTGGCTATATAGTGAGGTTAGGACCAGGCTGGGATATGAGACCATCTCAAAAAGAAAATAAGAACAAAAAATGCAGAGCATACTATCCTTTCCTTGCAACTTAGAAATATCAATAAAACACATGAAGACATGGGTTTACATATGTGCAGCGATATGAAAAGTGCTGAGGAATGAACATGATTAAAAAGTGAATTTAGAATTTACCTGTTTGGTCTTTGGATTGTATTAAAAAAAATTTGAAAAAAGCCAATCAATGTGGCAACTATGTGATTCATACTATGTGATTTAAGACGGAAAACCAGACACCCACCCACACATTTTAATCAGGGTGCTGAACTTTACCTAGCGGGGCTGGGTTCCCATGAGGCTCCAGGATTTCACTCTTGGCCAGAGTCCCTGGTAATGAGTAGCTCCCAAGGGGTACAGCAGCAGCAGCAGCCTCCTGTGTTGCTTTTAGGACCAGTGCCATGTCCCAGAACATTTTCTGACCCTAGAAACAAGTGGGCATAGTTGGTTTATGAGGGGACTGTAGACTGAAACACTGTAATCATAGCTTTGCAGATGAGAACCATTCCTGCAAGTCACAAAAACTGAGTAGGAGTCTCCCCAACTCCCCAGGACACCTGGGAAGAGAAGTTTGGTTTCTTTTTGTGTGTTTGTTTGTTTTGTAAGTTTTTTGACACAAGGTTTCTCTGTGTAGTCCTGGCTGACCTGGAACTCACTCGATAGACCAGGCTGGCCTCGAACTCACAGAGATCGGCCTGCCTCTGCTTCCCCAAGAGCTGGGATTAGAAGTGTGCAACACCACCACCCCCAGCCTACCACTTTGATTTTTAACTCACTGAATTCTATAACATACATCCTAATCTGTTAGTGAGCCCGAGCTGAGACAAGTAGAGAGCATGGCTTTAAGCTCAGGTGACACAGTGCTTTGTCTCACACCACAGAAACTAGGTGTGTTGGCACAGACGTGTGACTGGAGCTTGTGGAAAATCACTGCAGGAGGACCATAGTTTTAAGGTCACCCTTGGGTAACAGGGAGTTTGAGGGCAGTACCTGGACACATTTTTCTGCAGAATTTTCTAGGCCCCAAAAATCAAACCACCAGGGTTCTGATTCTACTCTCATACAGAGCTCTGAGAAAACTTTTGAATGAACCTGGAGTGAGTTTGAAACCACTAAGGGCAAGCCACAGTGTGTTGATCCATGCCCTTAATCCCAGCACATGAGAAGTGAAGGCAGGAGACTCAGGAATTCAGTCAGCCTGAACTATTTGTCTATAGATGAACAGTATCTGTAGCAACATCCAAGACCTCCTACACCCAAATTACACTTTAATAAGACCCCAGGTGGCAGACGTTAACCACAGCAAAGCACTGGAAAGAACTGTTAAACCCTGAATGAAACATCTCATTGAAGTGTTTGTAAAAACAAAAACCTAGGTCTTATTTCCCAGAATCTGGTCTAATTAGAAGAGACTACAATGTGGGTATCAGGATGTTGTAATGCTCCCCAGGTTCTATGCAGCAATGGATGGGAGCCACAGACTCATGGAACAGTACTTAGAGGATAGTACACAACAATCAACCATTATGTTCCAAAGGAATAAAGGTAAGGGCCCTCATTAGGAAAAAAAATCCTGGGTTTGGCAGTAGAGTGCCTCTGAAACTACCTGAGAACAGCATTTGTCTTCCTTTCCCCCAGACCATTTACCTTTTCCTCCTCTTCTGATACATTGATGCTTAAATAAGGACCTGCCCCAGGGCCCCAGGCCTTGACATTGTCAGAGTACACTTGCTGACTGGATGCCGGACTCATAGTTCCATGCTCATCCTCTTCCTTTTTCACCTTCACTGGGCCCCAAGAGGCTCGCCCCACGATCTTTTTCAATTCTGCAGTCATCTTCTCTGTTCAATGGGGGATCTTCGAAAGCTGAGGGATACCCAACATCGGTCACACCCCATCTAATCTTCAAGTCTCCCAAGCTTCTGAGTTTCTTCCCAGTGCCAAAACGAGTACAGTTGGCTGCAAAACCAGAAAACACATTTAACTCCAAATATAGCTTGGTATGATAACACTTAGCCCATTAGTTGATGTTACCGGCTCCTGGCTAGTGACCACAGTAGAACAGCAACGGTCTGTTCTCCTTCAAATGAAAGGGATAGATTGTAAATATATAATTATACAAAAGAGACGTATAAACTATTTTTATTGGATTAAAAATTAACAATTTACCTATACACCTTGGGAGGCAGAAACCTCCTCTACACAGGACACCCACTGCTGCATAGTGAGGTGCTATCTCACAAGAAAGAAAGGAAAGAAAAGAGGAAGAACTGATATTTTAACTGAAAAAACTTTAACAATAGCTGGGCAGTTGTGGTGCACACTTTTAATCTGAGCACTCAGGAGAAAAAGGCAGATGGAGCTCTGTGAAATTGAGACCAGTCTGGTCTACAGAGCAAGTTCCAGGACAGCCAGGGATACACAGAGAAACCCTGTTTCGAAAAGTGAAAAACAATATTAATGATAATTTTTAAAAAACCCTTTAAGAATATAGAAAAATGGGCTGGAGAAATGGCTCAGTGGTTAAGAGCACTGGTTGCTCTAGCAGAGGTCCTGAGTTCAATTCCCAGTACCCACATGATAGCTCACAAACATCTGTAATTCCATCTGGTGCCCTCTTCTGCCCTGCAGGCAGAACACTGTATACATAATAAATCTTAAAAACAAATAAGAATTTAGAAAAATATTAGGGGAAAACTCCAATTCAGTGATAATTATTATTTTATTTATAGTTTGCTTTTTACTATGGGGGCACATCCCCAACCCCTAGACTAATTTTTTTAAAGATGGGACACTAGAAAGATTACTAAAGAGAAAAGAAAGATTATCTCAAAGAGTATAGTTGCCAGCATGTTTTGAGGTTCCTTGTCTGATTTGTGTTTCCCACATCTTCCAAATGTTTGTAAGACCAAATTTTGGCTTCAAACAAAATTATTCATGTTAACATTTTTATCCTCATTTTTTAATTATTTATTTATGCTTTATTTGCATTGGTGTTTTGCCTGCATGTTTGCATGTCTGTGTGAGACTGTCTGATCTTGGAGTTACAGACAGTTGTGAGCTGCCATGTGGATGCTTGGAATTGAGCCCAGGTGCTCTGGGAAGAACGGTCAGTGAGTGCTCCTAACCACTGCGCCATCTCTCCAGCCCCCTCATTCTTACTTTTTAATTGTTGTACAATAACCTATAATTTTAAGTCTTTCTGAAGAAGTTATATAAACACAGAAAATTAATGTGTCCTATACATACATTCACACAAACACACGTACAGAGTAGCTAGTGACTAGGTTGGGGACAGCCTAGTCCCCTGCTTGCGCCCTTTCAGACCACACTTGCACAGAGTTTACCACTCTGTCCTGCAGTGCTGGGAATCCATCCAATGGCCTCGTGCACACAGACAAATGCTCTACCACTGAGAGACACCCTCAGCCACACCATTTCTCGACTCACTGTTTTACCACAGCCTTAATAGTCTTCCAATATATAGAATGCATAAAATATATATACCTCATTCTGGCAGAGTACTCTAAATTTACTTAACTGTACTGTTTACAACCTTTTCTTTAATAAACATGGGCTTTACTGCTCAGTTTGGTAATATTTGTTTCCTGTACAAAACATTCTTTTGTCTGGTTGCATGATTCCTCTAGAATGAACCTCGAGGGTTTATATTTCTTAAATTGCTTTCTAAAACACCATATAAAGTCGGGCACACGACTACTAATTAGCAGGACCTTTGTACCTCAGATAAGCCAGGGTTTTGTTTTTTGGGTTTTTTGTTTTGTTTTTTTAAACTAAGTCAAATAATATTACTATTTTATCTTAGCTGGATATAAAGAGAGAGATTGACTTTTGTTTGGTGGCTTCTTTCTCTTTGGTTCTATTACTAAAAACTGGTGCTAAATTTTTACGAAATCCCCTTTTGCAGTTTCTGGAGTAACCATGCTTTATTTTTTTCCAGCGTTGACTTTATTGCACACACTGAATTTTCAACTAATGCCAAGAGCCGGATCACAGTTCTGGAGGGTTATTCTCCCGGTGCGGGGCTGAGCAGGCCCGGGCCATCTGCACAGGCCTCTCCCTCCTCCACCTCCCAGCAGCCCCCGCCGCCCGCCACCG